TTTACAAAGTTTTTTTATTTGGTTGTCCAATTTTTTCATACATTTTAATAAGTCGTCCACAATTATAAACGAAAACTCCATCAGCTGCACGATTTTGTATATTTAATCCGAATGTAAATGTTAAAATTTTTGTTGTATTTAATTCCGATTTTTTCCTTAAAAGTCCAGTACGTAAACGATTTGCAATATCTTTTAAATCAGCTGCATGAATCTGTAATTTTCTTAAGCGTGTACGTTCATCAATTGTATATGTTATACCCAATCGTTGTTGTATATCATGAACTTGCGAATCAGCTTCACGTATACGTTCATCTAATGATTCAAGTTCTTGTTCACACTTTTTTATTTCTTGTTCGGAACGTGTTTTAAAACGTGTAGATTTAAATTGATATTGACGAGGTTTATATAATGTATGTGGTAATCTTTTTGTTATAACACGTCGTTGTTGAATTGTTATACGCATACGTGGTTCACAATAAAGAATTGAAACATATGCACGAAATGAACGATATTCAGGTGGTATACTAAAAGTATAAAACTAATACATGGAGAAAATGTATGACATAGATGAATACAATGTAATAAGTTTGGGTGAGTTTTCGACAATGATTTTTAGTCTAACGAAAAAGTCATGCTCCTTTGTATTATCTTAGAAACAGATCTTGTTCAGTATTTTTCTTCGAAAATGTAATCATACAAAATGAAAAATCCAGATTTCGGTATAGTCGAAATATATGTGATAGGTGTTTTTAAGAGCTTAACTATAGTTTTGTCTTTAGTTAATGTATCTGACATGTTGTTTCGAATATTAAGTTGATTTTAAATAGAGTGATGCTACAGCGTATGTCATAGATCATATGTAGATTCCAAATAATGAGTCTACCCTAGTAGTGCCGCCCTCAGCTTTATGTAACTCCGAATGAACCCTGCCGATGAATTTTAATGTAATTGCGTGTTCCATTAGAAAACAATGCTCTAATCGGAAAATTGAGGTTCATTTCTTATCCTTCCATCGCTATCGCTTTAGATTCGCTGTTGTCATCGCTCACACACATCCTACACTCCACACTACATAGTTAAATTCGCCCCACACTTGTCCTTCAAAATTACGAAATAATTCAAAATTTTATCATATTGTTACATTTATCACTAGCGGAGTCAAAAATGAACCCGGCTGGTACTTATTCGGGGGTAATATCGACCAAATGCCTGATATAGTCATTCGAATTGAAATATATTTCATATTTGTTTGTTATGTAGAATATGTTTTGAAAAAGAAATATGCAACGAGCGATTTCTATTCAATTTACCTATCATCATTATCATCAAATAGATTTCTTCGATTTTTTGAATCAATTAACATATCATATGGATCTGTTTTTATATTAAGTTCTGCTTCACCGGTATCAGATAATTTCACATTATATAGAACAATTAATGTTCCACTTGAAGATGTAATTAAATTAAATTGTTTAAATAAATCATCAATTGTTTTAAATGGAGAATATTTTGTAATTAAATACATTTCAAGTTCATGTTTAGTTTTATCATATGTATATGTACGTGTCCCATTTATTTGTTCATTATCAGTATTTTCAATTGGTTGTTGAGTGATTAAATCAAAACAAGGCATTGGACACATTATTTGAGTTATATGTTCTTCTTGATGAAATGTTCGTGAAAGAAATAAACATGTACCAATATTATCTTTTTTTGTTAATAATATAAAATCATTTGATATACGCATAGCACCAGATTTTAAACCATTACCATATTGACCAATTTGATTAGAATCAAGCGTATGGCGTTTTCCGGATTTACCAAAAACAATTACATTGAACACATCGTCTAAAAACATATACATATGTCATTTTGAATAAAAATTATTTCAGTATTTCATCCGTATAAATATCACTTGTTTATTTGATGAAACGTACCGTAATGCATTCCACAACCATCATCCAAAAATGCCAAATAAAATCCTCCACGTAAAGATGGATCTTTTCGTGTATAAATATCAAGATTTGTTGCGCCAGCATCTCTTGAATTATCAACTAATTCAGCTAATGCACCAAAAAGAAATGTATGTGTAGTTGAATTTGTATGCAAATATTCAAAGCTTAATTGAGCTTTATTTAAACAATCGTATTGATTCATCATCATCATTATCTCATTCTTTTCGTTTTTATCAAAAAGAAAAAATAAGTAAATGAAGTGAAATTGAAACGAAATAAAATATTTTTTGTGATTACACAGAAAAAGAAAAAGAAAATAAAATAAATGTGTAAAACATTATTACATTAAGCAAACATTGAAAGCAATGAAAAAAATGTTTTTTTTTTGAAAAATATAAATCTGAATTTAATGCGAATGTTCAAGATCAAATACATATGCGGCTTTTTTATGCATGATTAACTGATTGTCGACAAAATAAAAACTATCTGACTTGGTTTCATTTGGATATTCAACCATTTCTTTAACTAGAAGAAAGAAAAGTTTTTTTTTATTGGATGAAAAATAATGAATTTAAATAATTACCTTGCTTGGCAGTGAATTCTGGCATTTCATAAATATGTTCAATTGAATTTCTTGTATTTGGTGGACAAAAACCAAAATCAAAATCAAATGATTTGATTAATTGATCACGAAAATAATGACGTTCAATCATTCGAAATGATTGTACTTCACGATCGCCTACTGTAAAATCGACTCTAAATTGAACAAAATGAAAAATTTATTCGTCAATATATGCAAAGAAGGATATTATTTTATAGTAAAACAGATATCAATTAATTTTACTTTCATATTGAACATATTTTTCTCTTGTTTTAACTCCTAACTTTATATCTACATAGTATTCTCATCCATTTCACCCCGAACTGTAGAGTAGCTATTAAAGAAAACTCAGTGTAGTTTAGACTTACAGAGCGCCGACTTGTTTAAGTTTGAGGAATGATGATGGAAAATGATATTGTACAAAACGACCAACCTCAAGTTCTTGATCATTATCTGGATCACCTCCATCTACTAATTTTGAGATTAAAATACAAAAAAATATAATAGAAGAAAAATTTATCATACCTTGTCCTCGTTCCACTTCAAAAAGTACCTTATTTGTTTTCATATCACGAATCCGAAAATGAACAAAATCAATTTTATATACATTTCTATCTGTTTCTGTTAAATAATCTACAATAAAAAACATAATAAAAAACTTTGCTTTTTTTTTTCTCAACCCATTATTTACTATTTGTAGCTTTTCTTAATTTAAGAATATCACTAATTGTAATTGGTGTTTCTTTTTTTCTTAATTCTTCTTCCGTAATAGGGGCTTCATTTGATGTTATACTATTACTGGATGATTTACCAGAGTTTGTTTTTGATGAAATCAAAGTCGATGCCATCGGATAAAGAAATTTTCTCTAAATACAAGAAAAAGATAATGTATATTTTTTAACCGACAAAAAGGGTTATATATGTTTTATTTTTTTTTCTCAAAAGAACTGTACAATACGGTCTGTGCAAAGGAAGTCAAATACACCACCACAACAACAGCAACAACAACAAAAACAACAACAAAAAAAAAAGAAAAGAAAACAAACGAAAGAAGAAGAACATGATTTTCTTAACATTCACATACAATGAAAACTCTAGGAACTTAATTTTCTTATTCTTTCTTACCAGTAATCTAAGAAAAGAAAAAAAAGAAACGGAAATAAACAATGCAATAAATTGTATATGTAGGTGTTTTTTTTTTTCAGAAAGATAAATAAACAAAACGAAGAAAATGAATAGTTAATCGCAGCAACACATTTTTAAAATAAATATGTGCGCATGCATATCAATGAAATTACACAACAAAACGGATAAAAATAGAAAAGACAAAAACAAAAGACAATGTTTTTTTTT